ACGAAAGTAGTAGGCATATTTAACATAGATGTATGCCTAATTACATAAAGTGGGCCTACTTAACAGCGTAGAATACTTCAATTTATTAGACTCACTTTGTCCTTGAAACTATTTCTAAACAGAAGAAGTATCAATCAATTCTATAAACACTTTCTCTTTTATAGAAAAGAAGGGGACGAAAGTGTATAAATATTTACCATTTAAGCATTCATTTTTTTCTGTTATCGAATTAAAATATTTCTTTTCTTCAATCGAGACTCTATCTTTTTATTTTATTTTATTTTATTTTTATTATTTTTATTTTTTTTGATCTCGTTATCAGAAAGGCCTGTTGATAAATGTAACTTGTGCAAGAAGTAATTCCCTTTCGAACATTTTCTCTACAATTATTCTTACCGTATTAAGGTTGAAGTTACCGATGGCACATCTTTTGTTAGTGTTGGCGACTGAAAGTCGGAAACGATGACAGATTGAGAAAAAGTCATCGAGTGTAGAGAACAGAAATAATTTTCCAAAACGATAATGAAGATATTTAATCTATAAAAATACTTTTTTTCTTTTTTTTTTTTTTAAAAAAAATCCTCACTTAATAATTTCTCATTCAATATTTATCTGTCTTAACAATGAGCAAACACTTTAAACGCCATTAACGTCTACTTAATTATATTTTAATTCGAAAAATTAAATGTTATTTTCGATGCGGTGATAGGGAAATGCTGGTGTTTATTTTTATTATTCTCTCCGTCTTTCACTTAAGGCATTCGGTTCGAAAGCATTGTTGATACTCCAAAGCTATCACGTGACACCCGGCGATAACGGCGATTACTTTTCCCGGATACTCGAAAATGGTAGAAGAAAGATAAACAACTCCTTCCCTTTTTTTTTATGTTACACGGCTCAAAATGTCTATTTATTCTTAATCCTTTGATCGTAATTATATTTATGGGATTTATTTATTTATAAGTAGGATAATTTGGAATTAGCGTGTCTGCTTTATAAACGAGTATTAAAAAAAACCCCCACGCTAGCTACGTATCTATGTCAGCATCCTTCCCTTCAGTAGCTACGTATCTATGTCAGCATCCCTCACAGTAGTTATGTCCCCCCCTCATTAGCTACGTATCTACATCAGCACCCCCTCATTAGATACGTATCTAAATCAGCATCCCTCCCCTCATTAGGTACGTATCTATGTCAGCATCCATCCCCTCAGTAGCTACGTATCTAAATCAGCATCCCTCCCCTCACTAGGCATGTATCTACGTCAGCATTCCTCCCCTCAGTAGATACGTATCTACATCAGCACCCCTCATTAGATACGTATCTAAATCAGCATCCCTCCCCTCACTAGGTACGTATCTAAGTCAGCATCCCTCCCCTCATTAGGTACGTATCTACGTCAGCATTCCTCCTCTCAGTAGCTACGTATCTACATCAGCACCCCCCTCATTAGATACGTATCTAAATCAGCATCCCTCCCCTCACTAGGTACGTATCTAAGTCAGCATCCCTCCCCTCATTAGGTACGTATTTACGTCAGCATTCCTCCCCTCAGTAGCTACGTATCTATGTCAGCATCCCTCACAGTAGTTATGTCCCCCCTCATTAGCTACGTATCTAAGTCAGCATTCCGCCCTTCAGTAGCTACGTATCTACGTCAGCACACCACTCAGAGAATATTTACATTTTCGTTTAAGTATTAATTAAGTAGCAACTTGAAAATTCGAACATAGAAGAAAATATAAATAGCCGAAGGGAAGAAGAGATAATCGCCGATATATAATTAATGCTTTATGACCTAAATTATGTATTTGTAATAAAATTATCATTTATAAGCATTGGAAGTATTCCAGTAGTAATAAATTATCAAGGAAAGAGTTAGTAAGTCGAACACTTCGTCATGCCCGGAGAAAACGGGCAATGGAAATCAGAAAAAAAAAAGGAAAAGAGGTGATTCGAACGAATTGCCAATGGCAATAATTAACCAAAGTTATAAATAATAATTCTATTTGGATAATACTTTCGGGAAAGAAGAAGACGTTTGATCGTTTCCTTCACAAAAACCGATCAAATTCGAATGAAAATTTTTGACTTTTGATGAAAATGCAAAACGAGAAATTTCTAACGAATTTTTCCTTAATTTTGCTGAATTGGCATTTATTATTATTATTATTATTTTTGTTGTGTTTAGTGGGTTATACTCGGTTTACACCG